CACCTCGTATTAACCACTCTAATTGAGTTTACATTGAAGGCGACGGCAACTATTCTACGTGATAACATAATTCACTGTTACCATTAACATTAATGGATGGTTATGTAGTTTTTTGTAATTTTATGGCTTGCTCTGACCCCTTTGGCCAAGCTTCCTCCCACCCAGGTCATGAGCGTATTTGAACATTCTTGACTACTTTACGAAGGGGATCTGAGTTGCACAGTTGATGGCAAATGTCAACCAAAGTGTGCCACATGTTGGCTAAAATTATCTACATGACCAAAGGCAACCTATTTGTTTCTGAACTGATATATTCACCCACACATGCATTTATATATATATATATATATATATATATATATATATATATATATATATATATACATATACATATACATATATATATATATATATATATATATATATATATATATATATATATATATAAATATATGTAAATACATAAATATATATGCATCATACATATGCACTCTATAATAATCAACCCATTCCGTATAATGCGCACAAACTGTAGGGTTGAAGCTGAGAGGGTTGAAGAAGAAAATAAAGGATGATACTGGAATCAATTAGAACGGTGTGGGATTTAGAGGAGCATTTGAAAGGCGATTTTGCATCTGGCAATTTTTCCATAGCGGAAACCAACTGCTCGAGGCTTTGGGATGAGCGTTTGACGTTTGTTTGAGATGCCAGGTCTCGAATTTACGCCTCGTTAATGCATAGTCTGCCGTATGGTTAATTATAGCTATCTCTTTTTGCGAACAATATTCAAACCTACTTCATTCCGTAACGTTCAATACTCACATACTGTAGGATGAGCTGTTACTTAGCCAAATTACCTGAAGGGAAAATGTAACACCTGTGCGATTTGGCACCGAACTTGGCGTCCTGTGGCTATGGATACAGGCGATGCTTGTCATGTCCTGATTATTTTCTCTGTTGGTGGATATTTATTTCGTAAAGCCATTCTTTCGTTCACAGATGACTGACTCTTTTGTGGCACATTCGAGAAATATTGGAACGTATTTGACACAGCACTGGAATCTAAGATTCCTAGCTAATACTTGCTGGCACTACTTAAGAGTTAAAGGATTGTAGAACGTTTCGATGTGTATATGTATGTATACATATGTATATATACATATATACTATACATATCTACAAACACACATACACATGTGTGTGTGTGTGTGTGTGTGTGTGTGTGTGTGTGTATATATATATATATATATATATATATATATATATATATACATACATATATATATATATATATATATATATATATATATACATACATATAGATAGACATATAAATAGATAGAAAGACATGGTATACACACACACACACACACACACACATACGCACGCACACACACACACGCGCACGCGCGCGCGCGCTTACTACCTATATGTAAATACATGTAATGCATATGCAAATACCAAATATTACCAAGAAGAAAAATTGAAATTATAAACATAGGCAGCAGCGGAAATGCCATCGTGGTCTGAGTGACGAGCGAAGGGAGGCAGATTCGTCTGGAACGTTGAGGGAGAAACACCTAAAACTTTGTGTTGCAACAAGTCGTTCTATTGCGTACCTTCTGTCTTGTAGGTTAGTACACTACTTTGATTTTTCGATTGTGAATGTCGGTCAGTAATGTGCGCGCCAGTGTAATTTATTCTTCATTTGTTTGATTCTTTATACTTTTAACCTAACCAGTTTATTATGTTATGTCTCCTGTAGTTTTTTGATAAATTTTGTTACATGTAGATGGCTCCACATGTGCTCAGCCGGCAAGGAGTCTATCATTAGGCCCTAGTGACCGATCTTACTTGATTTCCCCACAACTGATATCGATACTATTATTATTGCTATTAATATTATGTTTATTATTGTGTTATTTAATCTTGGTGATGTTTAAGACAATGAACTAATGCAAAAGACCCTTTCCAAAAGTCAAGGAAGAGGGTCAACAGGTGAGACAAGTAAGACTAATAACTTCTTGGTGATTAAGTACTTGTAGAGCCATCATTGTGTAAATACAAAATGTAAATTTATATTACAGTGTACAATGGGCATCGCGTGTAATCCTTGCCATCCGTGTCGATTGGGTTAACCCGGTTTATGATTGCATCAGTCGTCATTAATCATCAAAGAAAACGTGGGGAGTATCCGTAACTCTACTAGAGAACTTTAAATATAATGTCAGTGCCCTACAATGTGCTTACCGTGCTTTCACAGATAGCGTATTTCACTGCTCTCAATGACCATGCAGTGACATTAACAGTAACAACACTCGATTCTAACTTTATATCTACATAAAGATCGTTAGATCGATAGGTATTACTGGAAAAGAACATTAACAAAGAATCAGTCTTGAAGAATATTAATTATTGATCACTTTTCATTAAATAAAATAAATAACAACGAAGCTATTTAATTTTCAAATTAATTAAAATAATATTCAACGGATGTGAGATTCACGCGATCGCTGAGGGAGAACTGACTACTTACTTGTGACGTCATGTCCAGTGCGACGATTTGATTGGCCATTTGTTTGACGGTTAATTTAATAGACCATGGGGAAACAAGGCACGAGGAAACAGCCGATGAATTAGCTAAAACAAAAGCTATGAAATTCAATAATAAAAATTAGTTTCGTCATGGCCTTTTAAAGACGTCAAGGCTGCCGGAAATTATTACGTGAGCACAGATTGCTGCCCTTTGAAGTACTTTGTGAATTGTACAGTTTACCTAGCACTCTAAGAATAGTTGATCCCGCAACCGTTGTCAGGAAATAATAATTATAAAAAAAATGTCCTTCCCTCCGAGATTTCGTGTTTTATAAATCACTGGCTAGAGAAAAGGTCGAACCATAATCGTTTTCGAGAATCTCGGGTGGGCAGAGCGAACCAGCACTGACTCGAGGAGTTTCTGCTCCGAAGTAATGGCGAACTGTCTCTCATCAAGACCCGATGGCGGGAGAGGACATTGTGGTCGAGACTGAAGAGTCTTGCTTTGAAAAACGGAAGTACGAGCGTGGGCATGGGCAGGAACATCTGGGTGATTGGAAGCATAGTGAGGGAGTCGAAAAAGTGTTTCCTCATTCCTCTTGTGCCTTCCCGGTCTCCTAACAGAAATGAGGAAACTCTGGTCCCACTTACAAAGAAATACATTCTTCCGGGAACCACCATCGGTAGGGACGGCTGGGGAGCCTGTCTTGGGCTCGACAAGGAGGGTTACGCCCACCGTGTGATTAACCTCTCGAAGGAATTTACGGACCCAGGAGACCGCAATATCCACACGGAGAATATAGAGAGGCTGTGGAGAGACGTCAAGGAGTGGAGTTAAACATCCAGGAAATCGACCTAAGTATTATCACCAATAGCCTCTCCCGCTGTCCAATTATCCACAACTTTCACCACAGATTTCACAATTTCCTCATTGAGATTGCTTGCCTTTACCCTCCTCTGAGCACCCAGCCGTCGCTCCTGCTCCCGTAAGTCAGCGTTGATATCGACAACTCTAAACCAGGCCCCTCTTCTGTATAGGCGCAGCCCCTAGCTAGGAAAAATAATAGGTTAGGCCTGAGGGTCCATCCCCTGCCTAAGGAAAAAGAATGAGCTGGGGCTTACATTCCAAATTCTATACTTTTTCGGCATAATTGCGCAGCCGCGCAATTTTCGGCAAACTCGAATGCAAGCGAAAATTGATGAGCGATAAACAAGCTTCAAAACGAGTAATGATTAAATTAGAAGCAAAGAAAAACAATAGAAAATAGTGGAAAAGGAAAAGAAAATTTCAATGATATCAAGAGTGGTGCCATTCTTGTATGGAAAAAGACTTTCTAGCCATTTCCGATGGAAACGAACCACAGAATTAACCGGACCAAAGCAATAGAATTCGAACGAATCCAGCTAAAACTGCTAAATGCATTGGTTTACTGAATTAGGTTGTATTTGTGCAATACACCTTTGTGTATAATCACGTTTTCAATTTGAAGTATACCAAAATAAAGAAAAGGTGTGTTTACATGTATGTGGGGGGGGGGGGGGGCGCTAAGAATCTGGAAGCCAAAGGGGCACCACCTTGGTAAAAATTGGGAACCACTGGTTTAGGGCTTATCATAGACGTTGAAATAGATATATACATGCAGACTATAATAAACTGTGGTAGAGTGCTGGCTTTGGTATCGCCGAGTCCAAGCTTCATGCTCGGACGCTCCTCTCAGCTGAGTGAGTACTGGCATGCCGGAGTCAAAGTCTGGCCGGAAAGGAACTGGCCACTCTACAGCCTCATCCCGCGGCTTGGGATGCATGTTCTCTACACAAACATGTTTCCTACCTCCATTTAAATATTAAACCAGCTTTGACTTTAACCCGAGACATGCATTATACGACGTGCATGTCTGCGTGTGTGTACGCGTTTGCGTGCATGTATCCCTATGTGCGTGTGTGTTTGTGTGTATAGATTAGTTTAATCAGACATGTGTTTATGCACACATATATATTTGAAAACTTTGTATTGTAGGCACTGCAGATCGCCACCATGATTGTAGAGATCCTGTTGTTCGTGGTGGGAGTGATTCTGCTTCGCTATTGGATTTCCAGACCTCGGGGAATGCCACCAGGTAAGGCTGTTTAGTTCAGGGTTTGAGCATGAAGATGGTAGTGCATCAGATAATAATAGTTTCCTTTACTGAAATATAATTACAAAACATTTCAGGTCCGATGGTCGTACCATTCCTTGGCTCCAGGCCTGTCTTGAGTGTCGACCAAGTGCAGAAGATGCACAAAATATATGGTGATATATTTAAGTAAGTTTATTTTTTCTCTCCACTTTTCAAACTAGATACTTTTGCCCATGCGTTCTCTAAAATGCCGGCAGAAATACGAATATCTAAACAATGGAGTAAGGAGTTATGTGAAAATAATGTAAGTTTGCTGACCTAAATTCTCGGTCTGTATACTGTAAGTTC